CCGACATCTGGTGAAAATTTCATGTCATTAGCACCTCTAGTAATATATTTACTGAGAAAAATGGTGACGTGTTCAATACTTATTTTACCCGCTGTATTTGCCTATTTCTCCATATACAACTTTTGGACTTAATCCTCGTTTCGATGTGACGGGTCACAATTAAGCAAATGAGAGTGGGTAGCAGTTGCGCTGTGACTGGTAGAGCAAAGTTCCACTAAATGCTTATGGGCCGACCCAGTATGACCTCAATAAAAAGTAGCTTCTAGTGCTGCTCTGTTGTATTATTTCAGTTTCTGTTTGTGCAAGATCGTGGTGAGCTGCAGCTCTGGCAGATGTTGTCAGATTCAGATTACTTTATTTGTCTTTGCACCGTTAAGCACAACAAAATACAGTTTGGAACAACCCATCCAAGAGAGAGAGACAAATGCAAACAAATACGGGAGAACAGGTGCCCGGCTCCTGCAGCCATAAATGGCGTTACCCTTACCCTTAAAAGAAAAAAGAAATTCCACATAAGGATAGATTAGGGGAGAAAACAATAACATCCTATTATGACCACTAAATGTGACACACTATGGTATTTATAGAAAACACCTCTGCAAAGCAAAGATCGGAGTAGAGAGTGGAGGATAAGTAGGGACGATAAGCGAAGGGTGGTGGGGGGGATAACACAGGGAGGTACGAGTGAAAACCGTAAATGGCTTCCTTCACTCCTCTCTCAAACCAACGTCCCTCTCTATCAATACATATATTTTTAATAATCTGAAGTTTAACAGCTCATAATTCTAGAGCCACCAAGGGAATGTGTAAACACGCAAAACACTGGACCAAACAGGAGTGCAAGTCGTATTTTCCATTTTGTAGTTTTTCTGTGTCATTACATTTATCAGGCTAGTCTATTTAGTTACAGACAAACTCGTGGTGTTCAGAGTGTAACACAACAAGAGTAGAACAAATTTCAAGTATGAGCTCAGATTAAGTTCATCTTAACAACTAATTGTAAGTCACTATTTCATCTTTCAATAAATGTATACCAATTTTATCTTTTTATTGATCCTAAGCATTTAGAAAAATGCAGTTTTGAGTATATTTGTTCCCTAAATTTTCTGGGGGGTATGYATCTGGACACTCCTAGGATCACTTTGTGCCACTGGCACGAGTCACTAAGTTTGGGTGTCCCTCGCTGCCATCAGCAAATAGCAGGTGTGTAGATTTTTGTCATAGCCATGTCTTATGATTTATTTGACAAATTCTTTCCTTGTCAATTCTTAGGGTGCGTTTAATTTAGTTATAACGCAAATACGACACAAATTATGCCACTTTGGAGTCAACAATTTATCCCAATGTCGAAAAGGTTAAGAAGCCCTGCCCTACACTATTCTATACTTCATCATGACCGATGTCATCATATTCAAATGGCTGTTTTTATGCGTGTATAATACAAAAAAATCATTCAAAAATTATCCATAGTCTTATTATACATGGGGGTAAATTTTGACTGATTTTTTTTGCATGCACGACAACAAAAAGTTTCAATATTTACTTGTATGTGTGAAATATTGTGCCGCAATCATCATAATTTCTCACTCTGATCTCCCACTGAAGCGCATTACTAAAAAACAGAAGTCATTCTGTTTTTCACACCAGAGTTGAGGAAGAATAAACTTGTTTTTGTTTTCACAGCTAAAATTATGACATGGACTTTAGTTGCATGTTTGCATGCTCAAATGTTCATTTAGCTAATTTAAAAAGGCCTTCTGCTGTGGGAGCAGATCATTTTCAGTCACATACAGAAGCTTGCACTGCTCCTTCCGCAAGCTTTGCTTCACAGCCACAAATATGCGCTAGCGCTGTGCATTGGCGAGAATTTGGCGATACGATACATATCATGACAGAGGGGTCACGATACGATATATCCCGATGTATTGCAATACTGTAAGCAAGGCGATATATTGYGATTTTTTTGTTCCAAAAATTCTATTAAATAAAAACCTCTTACTGGGAAAAAAAACAAAAAACAAATGAAAAACCAAAATTCATTGTCTCAGAAAATTCTATTACATAGACATGCGCTAGCCTTCTGTAACGTGAAGGCTGACTAAAGTTGGAAAGAAGAGCGCACAAAACACTTAATCTGGCTTAAAATACAGACATTCTGACAAATAAGTAACTGTTGGTAACCTTACCTCAGCTTAGAAGGCAGAGGGTGTCGGTCTTTTCCGCTCAGATTCAGCTATCGGAGCATGAAGCTAATGCTACCCTTACTCTCTGGCGCTCAAGAGGTAGAGGAGCCAAATGGCTGGCTCACTGCTGCCAACTAGTGGTCAGAGGCTGAACTACAACATAGTAATGAACAGCTGGCAGGAAAGTTGATGTTTTAAACCTTAATAAAAAATCGATACAGGGCATTAGAATATCGATACAGTATCGGGAAATGAAATATTGCGATATTTCAGTGTATCGATATTTTCTTACACCCATAATATGCACACAAGGGGACTTCCAGTTACAAAAATGTTCAAGATGGCAGCTTGATGCTTAATTATCTTGGCTGAACTACCAAATAAAAGGTTATACCCACTTTTATTATCTTGTGAGTTTCATACAGTGATTTGTTTATTGCATGAACATGCCGGGGATGAAGGAGGCCCTAGTAAGGGACTGAGGAGAAAAGAGAAAGATATTGACATTGAAGTTACGGGTCAAAAGGAGGAAGCCTGTCAGAACAAGCCAGGAGAGTCCGTTTTGCCAGCCTCAGTTCACAAAATTATAAATGAAACAAGGATTAAAGCAATGTCTGTGTTTGAGAAAACATGCACACAAGTGTACAATATGCACCTAAAATAATGTCCCTCGCCAGAATATACACGGCAAAAGCTGAAAAATCCTGAGGTCTATATAAAATTAGGGGTAGCATTTTATATGAGGATTTGACTATTATGCTTTTTAAGCGCAAAAAATGGGAGTGGAGTCTCACATTATCCACACATTAACACGGTAAGTCATTAGACTTGTTACTTTCATGGACTTTGGGTCAAACTCATTATGTGCCTATGACAGAACAAAATCCTTAGATTTTTAAGTATGATAGTGTTCTTTTAAAACTTCCCCCATAATCTTGATAATTACTTTAATTACTTTCATTTTCATGGAAAGTTTCTAATTTAAAATATTTAACATTTTTTCCTACCTTAATGTCCATGGAAAATGTCTGATATGTTTCCAGAAATTTTCCTCCACTTTGCAACCTTATTTGTGTTCAGTTTTTTTTTCACATCAAAATACCTAGCTTTTAAAAGGTGTGTTAACTTTTTATACAAGATAATCCTTTATTAGTCCCACAGGTGGGAAATTTAGGATATTCATTGTATGGTAACTCCAGACACAACACATAGGTAGGCATCTTCAAAGTCAATGCTTACTATATTATTTGTTGAAAAGTGTAGAAAAACTGATGTGATAAAAGAGAAAAAGCATTCATGGTAAATGAGCTTCACAATCCCTTGTCCCCTCACCTTCTGGTTACGAGGCAGGTCAAGGACTCTGGCAGGCGGTGAGTAGTTCAGGACCAGTCTTTGGAATTCCAGTAAGTGGAACAGGGACTTTGCAGTGGAAGGAGACAGAAAGATTGAAACACGTTAGTAAAATTAAGTTAGGACATTTGTTGACATTTGTCGACAGAAGTCGTATTCTCTTCCAGCTCTTGGAGGAATTGGTCGTAACAAGAGAACAAATCTTAAAGACAAACACCAACGGACAGGACTTGTTAATTATGYTTCATCCTCACAACGTGAGCCATGTGTTTATTTAACCAAATAAAAAGAAAATTGCAAGTAATTTATTAGGAACAGATTACACGCTTTCTTTTATGACAGACTGGTTTAAAATGAACAGTCAACAGTTAATTAATAAAACAAGATAACGGCTTATCTCTAAACAAGCAGTCGAACCAGCTTCAATTACATTTTTAACCCAGAGTAAGCTGGTGGGTGTGTGTGTGTGTGTGTGTTTATTTGGGTGAACGTGATAAGGTGGACGCACGATGCGTGTCTGATATGTGTCTGTATTCGTTCAAGAAAGAACACAAAGAAAAAAAAAAGAGAGTGAACGTGTGGGAGAGCATTTCAGCAGAGTTTACACTAAATCGTATTCTTAATTCAGAGCGCGCAGGTGAGGCCAGCAGCGTGGACCTTGGACAGCTGATGCCAGGTAGAGTGTTGGAGCAGATGGTGAGGAGAACGAAGCCTCCAACCTGATGGCCAGTTGGGAACAGAGGCCCTGTAATGTGTGTCACCTCTGCTCACACAGGACAGGGTACAACACGGCCGGACCAAGACAGGGCAGCCACGGGCAGGAGCGAACTTTCAAGCAGCACTCTGATGAAGGATTGTACTCCCAAGGCAGATCAGTAGTTGGTGGAAGCGCTCAGAATAATCCAAAATGGAAACTCTTAAAGTCCAATTAAAAATATTTTAAAATGTTTCTTCTTGTGAAAATTGGCTAAGAATTGATAGAGAGGCTGAAAACTCGCAAGATGTTTTCAGYGTTAGATTAGCAAGCGAACTGACTAACTTCTCCCACTAGGGAAAAATATTCCCAGAGAGGAGAGAATTGGAAAAAGATAAAGACAAAATATGAGCGTGTTTTGTCAGGTGTGAGTCTGGCTGTTGAGAAAAGAAGCAACTTAATCTGGGAGTAAACTTTGGAGGAATATGTTTCATATCAGCACAACTATAACTCGTTTCAATGTAAAATAAAATGACACGACTGCTAATCTAAACAAAGCCTAAGACATGATTACTGGTTAAAAATCAAAAACTAAACTAAATGATGCTTACTATGCAAGCTATAAGCATTATTATTTGTGAGAGAATTAAACAAAACACGATTACACAAAGCAGGGTTCCCACACCTTTGTCAACATCAAATTAAAGGACCTTTCAAGGACTTTCAAGTACCAATTTCCTCAAATTCAAGAACCATGCGCAACGGCAATTGCTTGCTGCTACTGCAGAACGTTACCAATAAACAAGTTAATATCATGTAAATTCAATGAAAAACTGAACAACATAGAAGTTGTTGAGTCAGAATCAATGAAAGAAAGTGGATTAAATGTTTACCATACATTCATATCCACAATACATGAACATGTAATTATGTCCTGGGAGGTTTCGGCAGCTCCTCCTGTGAGGACACATGGAGCTCTCGTGCTTTCACCTGGGCTCAGAAAGAAAGAGCCGCCGTACTCTGCTCTGATTGGGTGAAACTATGACTTTGGCTCAAGTTATTTGTTGAAAGCCATGTCAGTTTACCTTAATACTGAGTTATTCATCACAACAAATGTAAGGTTTTTATTTTATTTTATTATTATGTTTTTTTATTTACAGATGATGAAAATCAGTCGTGTGAATAAAGAACTTCAATCCCCAAAAAACATTCAAGGGCTTTCAAGGATAAGCGTAAATTTTGGCTGTTTTCACACACTTTCCAGGGCCTTGAAATCATTTTTCAAATTCACAAACTGTCAAGGATTTCAAGGACCCATGGGAACCCTGACAAAGGTATCTTGAGCTGAACAAAAATAATAGAAAAGAAAAAAACTCTTAAGCATATGAAGTAGAAATTTAAGCACATGAAATAGACAACAACAGAATCATTACGTTAAAGGAAAGTTTTTTTTATAAAGTCACGATTAGCAGGTGCATGAGGGAAGTCCTTGGGCACGTTTGCAAGCTGGCACAAATAGTGAGGGGCAGACAGCATAATATTTGCAACTGGAGTTGTTATGGATACTTTTCAGGGAGAGACAGAGAGAATGTTTAATTTATACTTTTCAGAGCAATTTGGACTTGGGAAGAAAGTTTCTTTAGGAGAACCAGGGGAGGTTGAAGGGGGTCAACCACAGGGTTAGCTTTACCGTGAGGTCATGGGGTTCCCTACATCGCCCCCTTTGCGAGYCATTGTCAGTTCAAGGTGATGAGTTGCACAACAAGGGAACATTCTAGTGCTAGTCTCATGCTAGTCTCAACCGCATAGACATTAAGTTCTGGGGTCTTATTGGGCCTAAGTTTATGAAAACCCATGCTGGCCCACTATCTGAGCTGGTGAATGGGGCTGACACGTGGGTCAATGTTCACGCCCAGTTGGCTACCGACAGCAAGATGAAGGATTTGCAGGAAAAATGATTTAAAGTTTACATCTTCCTCCATAAAGGGTTCATTCTTGGAACCAAAGAAAGCTTGGAACAGTAGGGCTGTGTATTGGCAAGAATTTGGCGATACGATACATATCATGACAGAGGGGTCACGATACGATATATCCCAATATATTGTGATACTGTAAGCAAGGCGATATATTGCGATTTTTTTGTCCAAAAATTCTATTAAATAAAAACCTCTTAC